CAGAAATCTAAAAAAAAGTAAGTTGTTGGTAAAAAGCCAAATTTTTGGCATTTAAAAAAAATTCTTATTCAAATGTGTAACCATACTGAAAATCCCTCCTTAGCAAATAGTCAAAAAAAAAAGTGGGGAGGGAATGCCTTTAAGAATGTGTCACCTTTACAATGGATGTAACTCAATGGGTAGAGTGCTTACCAAGCAAGCACCAAGCCCTGGGTTTGATTCCCCAGCACCACATAAGTGGGTGTGGTGGCACACACCTGTTATCCAGAAGTGCAGAAGGATCAGAGGCTCAGGTCATCTCCTGATTGGAAAACACGTTGAATCCTGACCAAAGAGTATTGTGAATGTGCACATGGTAAGGATGTGTGACATACCTCCTCAAGATGTCCCTCTTCTCCTCTGAACATACTTCTCCTACAGAAGTGTTTTGATGTCTTCCTAGATCCATGCTATTGCTCCTCTCCCAAAGTGATTCCCATGGTAATTCCACTCAGGGCCCCTCTTCTTCTCCTATTGCCTACCTAAATCATAGCCACTGGAATTCCACATTAGCCCCTCTTCTATCAGACCTCTATGTCTATGGCATTTCCCGCTCTAGAACCTGCTTGACCCCTTTTAATAAAATGTTGCTTATTTAGCACATTTACTTAGTTTGCTTAGCACCGGGTCCTGCTAAGGACTCTCTGGTAGGCACCTATAGCAATTGTGATTATTTGGGTTATTGAATCTCAAGCCAAAGCTGGCTGAGGACATGGATCAAAGCTGCTCTCCCCTGATGGACCTGTCAGATGTGACCGAGGCAGGCCAGTCCTATTGATGGACACCCAGCAGTCATCATATCAAGAGTAAGAGGTACCCAGACAGCATGCAGAAGATGGAAGACAAATAGAAAAGGGAAAGGAGCTGGGATTTGGTACCATCAAATTCACAGCACCGAGCCCTGTAGCTGGAGTTTTCCTGTGTTCACCCAGCTCTTACAGCCACTCAGACCCAAGTAAACACACAGAGACTTATATTACTTATAAACTGTATGGCCGTGGCAGGCTTCATTCTATCTAGTTCTTATATCTTAAATTAATCCATCTCTATAAATCTATACCTTGCCACGTGGCTCGTGGTTTACCGGTATCTTTACAACTTACTTCTCATGGCAGCGCCTGGCAGCATCTCCTGACTCAACCTTCCACTTACCAGCATCCTCCTCTCTGCTTATCCCACCTGTACTATACTTCCTGCCTGGCTACTGGCCAATCAGCATTTTATTTAGCAAGAATCAGAGCAACACGTTCACAGCATACAGAAAGACATCTCCAGCAAAGCCCCTTTCTTCCTGTTTTTGAAAGTCTTGTTTTGTGTGGAAGATAATTCCCTCATTGTTCAAGCCACTTCTCGAGCTTGAAGATCCTGTGGTCGCAACCAGATGAAATCTTAAAAGGGATGTCAGTCCAGAAGCCCCACCAAGAATGTCCTCCTCCAACTCTGCACTCCTCCATATCTGTTCCAACGTACCTAAAACTATTACATGAATGGGTTACATCCCAGTTTTTTGAAATTCGGATGTATTTCTCTATAAGACTGGACTATTTCAGAAAATCATGAGCAGAAGTTTGCAGGAGTATGTAACTTCCCAGAGTATTTGAGGAGATTAGAAATAAGGTTTAGGTAGACTTATGTTCATGTAGTTTCATATAGAAGGTAAGTATCCAATAATACTATGTATCCATAAATACTATGTATTTATTTACTGGTATATAGTAAAGAACAATTCCAAGGGGTTTGGCTTTTACCAACAACTTACTTTTGAAGCAGGAAGAATATGAATAGGTATAACATATGCTGTGTGGGTGCATGTACTTGGATCAGAATATAAAGGGCACTGCGCACCCAAAGGCCATTCTGAGAGTGCATGAGAGAGGAGTGTGTGACAGCTGTGCATGGAGCTTGATAGACCACATTAGCAATAACTATTACATACACGGTTGCATTCTATTTTTGTATCACATTAACGGACATATTATTGGTAATTGTTCTTAATAGAATCACAGAAATGAGAGATGGAAATGCTATACAGTATGATGGAATGCTGTTCCTTCACCGTTGATCATTTTAATAAGCCTGCTCGGTCATTACTTACAGCCCATACTACAACTTTGCCAATGAGGCAGACCAAAATGAGGAGATAAACAAAATTTGTTTCCCTGATAAATGTGAAGCCCAAGTTTTAAGATATTTTGCTGAAGTTTTAAACTGATTGTCAATTAGTCAATGAGCTATGGCAGGCAGTGTATTTCTGGGTAATTAGTGTGTGTCTTAGGGGGGTTATTTGGCATGAGGCTGAGGGCAAAGTAATTTGTATCTCCCAGGAAGTGCAATAATTGCCTCAAGCTGAACTGCTTGGAAAGTGTATTAATTCTATTAGGAAACATTTATGTTATTTTATATGGCATCCTGTATATTCATGAAGTATACTCATAAACCATGAATTATTCATTTTGGGGGTCCCAGCATATGAGGATGGCATTGATGATAACCAAGAAAACAGGAAGGGCTATGTGTGCGCCATTGAGGAACTCAGGCATAGTCAGAAAGATGCATATTGGCTTACGAAATCCATCATCTTAGGACATCCCTGGATCCCAGCCATATTAGTACATCATGGGATCCCAGTGGGAGGAAGAATAAGGTCTTGGAAAGGTAAGGTCAAAGGTATGTCCTCTTGCTTGAAACTGGCTTCTCAGTGGCCCAAAAGGCATTCTAACCAGGGTCTGTTATGTGGGCTTTGAGAGCCAACAGCAGCCACATGGAGATGGGCTTGATCTTGGTATTCGAGGCACTTTCTTCTCCATCCCTATTTTGGAGATTGAGGACATGAAAAAAAAATTAATCACTCACTCATTCATACAACGCTTACAAGTGAATGTTCTGACTGCTAGTTATCCGCTCCTGTGTAACGAATTTCCCACCTGAGCACCCTACAACCACACTCATTCATTGTTTCTCGGCTTCTGTCTCAAGTCTTCAGAAGGCTGCATCGGGGAGACAGCTCAGGGTCTGTGAACCTTTCTGAATTCTCTGCTTCCAACTCATTTCTAAGCCCTCAGATTCCTGTGGGTGATTGTGCTGAGGACCTAAATTCCTTAATGGGTGGTGGCCAGAGGCCACCCTCAGTCTCTTGCCACATGGCTCTCTTCAATATGGAAACTAATTTCATCAAAGTAGGCAAGCTAATAAGGAATAGGCTGTCTGCTGGCAACAAAAAAGTCACCTTCTTTGGACACTGTGTTACAAAAACAGTATCCCATCACCTTTGCCATAATCTATTGATTCAAAGTAAATCGCTTGATTTGGATGACATTGAAAAGAGGGAAGCGCGCGCGCGCACACGCGCGCGCACACACACACACACACACATATACATCTACTTACAGGATCTTCAGGTCTGTCATGAAGCCTTGTACCATAGCTAGACGTAGCCCCCAAGCTCCCTCCTTTACCAACAACTCCAGAGCATAAAAGAAAGAATTCCAGTTCAGGCAAGACAGCTAGAAGAAGCAAGTAGCATTAAATCTGAAGACTGTAATGAACAAAAGCACGTTAGGTACAAAGCAGGCAAAAAGCAGGTCCTGTTGGAGGGGCTGAAAAAAAGAGCTGAGTGACTGAGACAGGATCCACAGGGGGAAAGGTGGGACAAGGTGAGGTTGGGAAGATGGCCAGGACCTGGATCATGCTGGGTTGGAGGTCAGGATGAGAAGTTAAATTCTATTCTGAGTGCCAGTGGGAAGCCACCGGAGCTTTTCAGCCCAGAATGATGTGATCCAATTTGCATTTGTAAAATATCAGATGCCCAGCCGCTGCAAAGAGAGTGAGCTGGAAGCATAAAGACCGGTTAGAAGCAAGAGGTTGTGATGTCAGCAGCAGGCCAGTGGCTGGGGAGGTACAGAAAATGGATGCCTGTGAGATAGCTTTTAGAGTTTAGAAGGGACATCCTTCTGAAAATATTTGTATGTTAAATGATCAGCTCAACTACGCTCCTCTTTGTCCAAGTTCTAAGAGAATGCTAAGGGAAGGATCCAGTTTAGTGCGGGAAGAGAAAATAAGACGGGTGAGCATATGGAGTGAGGAGACAGCTGTGGGAAGGACGCATAGGAGCTCTGAAGGAGCCGGACTTACCTGTATTCCTCCGCTGCATTACATTGGACACAGTGTTGCGTTTCCATGCTTCTTCCTCTTCTGTAAAATCATCTGCCTTTCAAGATTATTGAATAGATCAAATTAAACAGCATCATACAAATTCCAGTAATCTTTTTCAGGGGTCATTTGGCTTTACTGTCCAGACAGCTAGCTACTCAATTGTTAAACCTTACTGACTACCTCAAGGAAAACGGTACAATCCAGACATCCTCTTCTCAAATTCCTTACTCATTTTAGTCAGTTTCATAGCGTTTACTACAACCTGCATGGCTTTGTGGATCCTTTATTCTAAGGGCCCAGGAGAGCCCTTGCGTGCCGTGGGAGGTCAAATGTTTGCTCAGTGTTGCAGGGTGTGACCACTGAACAAAGGCATCCTGGGCAGTTGTTCCAGTGTTTCCCCGCATATTAGACACAGCATGAACAAACCTGCTTGGGACTCACGGTAAAGTCACAACCATGTATGTAGCTGAGGATAACTTGCATAAGCGTTTACAATGTACAAGGGCCTTCATTTGACCACATCTTTTAGTCCTGCTGTAAGCCAGTCTTTGAGATAGATAATGTTCCCAAGAACAGATAAGATGGTGGGAAGTGGATAGAATTAAGACATCTCTCCAAAAGCCAGAAACTGGAGATGCTGGAAATAACCCAGGACCCTGCTTTAACATGCATTCACCAACTGGATGTAGTGGTATCTCAGCACTTGGGTGTAGCTGTAGAATTTCTCTCCAGCTCCCGCCACCAAGTCCCATCAGTCCCAGAGCCCACTTATAAAATAAAGACACAGACTCTTACATTATTTAAACTGCTTGGCCATTAGCTCAGGCCTATCATTGTCTAGCTCTCACTCTTATATTTAACCCTTTTCTATTCATCTATACTTTGCCACGTGGCTCGGCTTACTGGTACCTTACATCTTGCTTGTCCTGGCGGCAGCTCCAGGCAGTCTCCCCTCTCCTTCCTCCTACCTCAATTTTCCTCTCTGTTAGTCCCGCCTATACTTCCTGTCTGGCTATCAGCCAATCAGATTTATTTACATATAGCGATATCCACAGCACTTGGGAGGCAGAGGCAGGCAGACATGTATGAGTTTGAGGCCAGCCTGGTCTACATAGTAAGTTCCAGAATAGCCAAGGCATGACAAAATCCTGTCTCAAACAATAAAATTTTTAAAAAAAAAGTACAAATAAAATATGAATTTACTTCCCAGCAAAATAAAAGTCAAAATGTTTCTCAAACTTCCCAATAGATGTGCTGACTCAGACCCACTAGAATCCTGGGCCTGATTCTCTGGCGTTATCTTTCTCTGCACATCCCTGACTCCTGCTGTCAGCAGTAGCTAGTACACAACCACCAGTGTGATGTACCCAACGGGACCTGAAGGAATTGCTGGAGGTCAGAGAGCTGGTATCCAGCCAACTCCTCCACATTCCAACTGCCTTCTTCTGGAGGAACTTCTTTCCATACTACATTTCTCAGTTGTGTTTAATCTGACCACGGACTGCTCACTTGGTCCTCGTCTTACGTCCGTTCATCACACAACCACTAAGCATCTATTCGCTGTCAAACCTTTGCACTAGGCAACCAGACGGACAAAGTCTCTGCCCTCTGGGAGCTATCGTCCGGGAGCAAAGGCAGACTTTAAGAAGGAGTTGATTTAGAACACTGTGGTTGGTACAATATAGGGTGACATAAAGAGGTACCTACCACCTGTGACTCATTCTTGGACATCCAGGGAAGCTTTCCTGAGTCATTCAATTATAGCTAAAAAGCAACTAGACCCATCCAAACAAGAATGTAGACCATCCTCAGCACAGAAAGCAGTGGGTATGAGAGACCCTGAGACCTAAAAGAGCTTCTCAAAACCACAAAAGGCCAAAATAAAAGTATGAGAAGAGGATGCAAAGGAACCTGGCATCAGACAGAGCTGGAAGAGGAGGCAGCAGCATCCAGGACCTGGTCCTAACACATCTACTCCCCACTCTTGTCTGGGATGCTAATGAATAGCACGCTGTCACCTTATCCTCACTTGATAGTTTTAGTAGAAGCATCACTGGTGTGTACCTAGGAAACTGTACTTCTATCTCAAGCTACATCTTAACCATTAGTTTCTATCTTCTTGGCAATCAGAATGGCTATGTGAGTCAAGTCATTCTTGTCCTTCCATAGACTAGGAAATTCAATGTGGAGGACACAGCCCAGCCTGACTCCTTCCCAGGGAAATAGTTTCTGGTGCAATGTGATTCTGAAAGCTTCTGCTAGCAATTGTTCTTCCTTCTCGGCTCTTGTAAGTTAGTGGTTGTCAGGTGAGCAGGTGAGGGTATAATGGGAGCTTGAGAGAATGTTTTGATTGCTTCAAGGCTGGGAATCACCACTAATTTTGTTTGTTTGTTTGGTTTGGTTTGGTTTGGTTTTTGAGACAGGTTTTCTCTGTCCTGGAACTCCCTCTGTAGACCACGCTGGCCTTGATCTCAGAGAACTCCCTGCTTCTGCCTCCTGGAATGCTGGGATTAAAGCCTTGAGCCACCACTGCCTGGCTACCATTGATCTTATTGAGTAGAGATGGAACGGTAGATGTTCCACAGTGAATGAGACAAGTGGTCACAACAGAGAACTGTCCTGTGTGTCACATGTCTTTGAAGTCCCACCAGATATGGATATAGGCTAAAAACCTGTCATTTCCGAGCTCAGAGACGAACTGTGTTTTGCATAAAGTACAATATTTTTGCTCAGTGTCAGTATGCATTGAATTATCCAATAATGAAACTACAGTGAAAATGATGAAGATATAACTTGTTCCTTTCAAACTTTCCCCAGGGTTTATCATCATTACCAAAGTCATGCCTTGATATAGTTGACTCATCAATAGGTTAGACCTGTATATATTTGTCTTTGAAATTGTCACATTGCCATATATATTGTGTGTGTGTGTCATATACATATGTCTTACTTCAAAAATTCCAATTCTAAAGAAAGTGTCATCAATATTCAGTTGTAAATATTTTACTCCTCTGAAATCTAAATGTATCTATTAGATGAGGTAAGCATTGAGTGCTTCCTCAAGCACTGGTTCCTTGCTTGTTGGGTGTGGTCCACAGACCAAAGACTTTGCATCACCACTGGAGAGCTGATTAAAAGGGATGATCACAAGCTCCTCCCAGATCCACAGAGCTGAGTCTTTATTGCATATGCTCTCCAGGAGATGCAGATGGACACAGACATTCGAGATGTTCTCTACTACGTTCCACAGAGCTGAGGGGTGAAAGAAAGAAAGAAGTCACTTATTCTAAATTACTTTCATGTCTCTTCTTTATTACACTTAAGACACTATATAAATGTTTCAGATTATATGTAAAGATGGGTTATTCTATCAATGAATTTTACTTCAAGCAATGGAAGTTAGAGAGTCTATTTTAATGAAAGAGGGTGTTAGATTTGACAGGTTGAGAATGTTGCCCTGGGATCTCAGGAATAGTTAGCTGTGAGAAACTTTGGAGTAGCTAAATGAAAATAGACAGCAGAGTCAAATTTATTTGGACTTGGCCATTTATATATTCTAGCAGCTCCAAGATCTATATTTCTAGCTACTGAACAACAATGTATCTTGCCCTCTAAACACCCTGAGTATATCCCTGCTTTATTTCTTTTTTTTATTTACAGATGTACCGTTTATTCCTTCTTTGTGGGTATGTATTATAGTTCATTTAATCACTTCCATAAGACAGCTAATGGTTTTTCCTTAATTTAACATTATGGCAATGAATAAAATTATGGGAAAGCATTTTATTTTTTATTTTATTTCTTTTTCATTTTTATTTATTAAGAAATTTTCTACTCACTCTACATACCACCCACAGGTCCCCCCTCCTCCCTCCTCCCACCCCCAGCCCTCCCTCCCAAGCCATCCCATATCCCCACATCCCCCAAATAAAGGTCTTCCATGGGGAGTCAACAGAGCCTGGCACACTGAGCCTAGGCAGGTCCAAGCCCCTCCCCACTGCACCAAGGCTGTGCAAGGCATCATACCACAGGCACCGATATCCCTGCTTTCTGAAAAAAAAATTAATATTTCACAAAGTAAGGGTCCTTCTCCTACGGGATCAGCCACACTCTTGCTTATCCTGGAAAACTTGTGTGTCCCCTTTTCTGTGCACTATAATGTCACAATAGTCTAGAACAGCTAAGAGACTGGCAACAGAGTGCCACAGACAGCATGAAAGGCCACGAAAGTGAAAGAGACAATAGGCTATTTAACGACACATGCAAGTCACCGAACGCCAACACCTTGTACAACTTCCAGGAAACCCATTTCTCCCTCCCAGAACCCCCTGGCTCCCCAAACATGTCAGGTAAGCCTCTTTTATGTCCCTCAAAATGGTCTTGCCATGACATCAGTTGGCCTTGTTCAACTTCTCAGAATATAGACTATCACCAGGTGGGACTCCCATCATCACGTCCTGCCACCCAGGTCAGCCCTTCTGGTGACTGTGACAGGGCTACCTACTCAGATAGCTCTCTCCTGCAAGGACCACTCCTTCCATTCACTGCAAGGTCAAGATCACACACACTTCAGTATCTTTCAATGTTGTTTCCTAACTATTGTCCAAGTCCATCTTCCTCGCAAGTTGTGGGATTCCCTTCTCCTTCACAACCGAACTTCTTTTAAGAGAATCTCTCAATCTCTCTCTATCTCTCTCTCTCTC